CATAAAGTCACAAATTAAAACAGTATTACTTATAATAGCGATTAAGTGACAATTTATTCACTGACCCAAGGATAATTTTCCTGTATCATTACTAAATTTTGGTTTGCACAAGTCTGGTTGTGCTTCATTTTAGTGTATTTAATTCATAATTGCTGATAAGAGTATTTCCAGAGCAATTTTTACAAATGCACACAAGATGTCACAAATATCTTCAAACAAAACTTTAGTTTATATATATACTTAACATACTGGAAATGATTATTCAATCCAATTTCTGAGCACATACACATACCTGGCTTGAAGCCTATATTAATATATTTTCTTAAGTAATCTTATGTCAAAGTAATATCCATGATTACTTCCTCAGACTCCTTAGTTGCTCCCATTCTTGCCTTGCATTTTTTCAATTGTCAGTGCCTTTCTCTTGAGACTACTTTAGCTTGAAAGCTAAAAATAATAGTAACACTTTCAATATATTTGGAATAATACTTATATAAAATTATATTCACCCAGGCAGTGGTGGCACACACCTTTAATCCCAGCACTCGGGAGGCAGAGGCAGGCGGATCTCTGTGAATTTGAGGCCAGCCTGGTCTACAGAGTGAGATCCAGGACAGGCACCAAAACTACACAAAGAAACCCTGTCTCATAAAACCAAAAAAAAAAGTAGAAAGATTATATTTATGGTGTCAAATCAAAATAACAAATCCTCTAAATTCATTCTAAACTGATAAGCTAAATAAAGTATCAGCAAGGCAGTGGATGTTCTGTGTTTGCACACTAGAATATTTAAAATGCTTAAAAAATTTTAAATGCATAAATATGTCAAAAATTGTATGCATAAGCAGACTTATAAATAATTATATATGGATAATAATTAGTGATAATGTAATATACTGGAAGTATACATCCACAGATTATTATATATCAGCATAAAACACTATGTGGCATTATTATGTAGGTGGGGTTTTTCATTGATACCATAGGCTCCCCAATAATTGACACAGACTTATTATTAATTATAAATTCTCAGCTGAAAGCTTTGGCTTCTTACTAACTAGCTCTTACAACTTAAATTAACCCATAATTCTTATCTATGCTCTGTAGCTGAAGATTTCCTGTGTCCCACCTGGCCCAGAGTCAGGACAAATCACTTTCACCCAACAGTCCTGTAGCTGCTTGGACCCAAGTAAATACACAGAGGCTTATATTACTTATAAACTGTAAGGCCATGGCAGGCTTCTTGCTATCTAGTTCTTATATCTTAAATTAACCCATGTCTATTAATCTATATGTTGCCACGTGGCTTGTGGCTTACTGGTACTTTACATCTTGCATCTCATGGTGGCAGCTGGCAGTGTCTCTTGACTCAGCCTTCCACTTCCCAGAATTTTCCTCGCTCCTTATACCTATACTATACTTCCTGCCTGGCTACTGGCCAATCAGCATTTTATTTATCAATCAATTGGAGCAACACACTCACAGCATACAGAAAGTACAGTATGTTCATATCCTGCTGCCTGTGTGTCTGACTGATGACCCTGCCTTTCTTCCTGCATTCTCTCTGTCTGGCTCTCCTACCTGAACGGTTCCTGCCTAGCTACTGGCCAGTTAGCCCTTTATCAAACCAATGAGAGTAATATAAATTCACAGTGTACAAAAGATTATTCCACAGCATTATTACAACTCGAATAAAATACTTCGTTTTTGTCAAATCAAGTAATTTCATTTCAAAATGTCTCCAACATTTTGGATAAATTATTTTGTTTATTCTTTTTTATCAAATGACCATAACATTTTATTAGGCATGAACTGCAGACCTTGAACTGTGTGATAATGTGAATTTATTAAAAATGTTACCCTAGTGTCTCTTGAAGTGTTTATAGTGTGATTGAGACAAAGATTAGAAATGAATTAATTAATTACACAAGAGCATGAAACTGTCTTACATTTATTCAATATGTGATCTCATCCAAGGGAGGAGAAAAGTCTAATACAGGAAGGAAGCAGGGTAATTAGAAGGAAAAATCAGTAATGGACAGGAAGATTTGTAAAGACAGAGAAGATATTGTTTTCATAGACACAATATTCCTCAAAGGCAAGAGACATAACTAGTGGAGACCCAGAAGACTATATAGAACTCTGAAAGGTTTACCAGCATGCCATTACATCTACAACTTCAACAATAGTTTGCAGCTTTAAGTATTTCTAAACATTATATTCTAGAAATATAAGCAATTAAATACAAATAAATACTCTTAATTGAAAGCTGAAACCAATCTATACATCTCTCAAAATCTCTTGTATCTGTTCAGAAATTGTTTAATATCTTTAAGGTCACAGAGAAACGGAAATATGTAGACATGAATGGTGTTTTGAATATGTAAAACATAGATTCTGAACACTAAATACATACTATTATATTTATATTAACAAAAAATAGAGAGACATAATACCAGAATTTTTGTATTTGTATTTTCTTTAGCAAAAACATGTGACCATATTGTTTCATAATTATTAACAAGAGAAAATCAGTAAACAAAATATACATACATTTAAGATTGTATATTGCCTTCAAATATGGTATGAACGTTTCTGTATATAATTCATATTTAGTATTTATTCATTTCTTGATTTTGGGAATTACACTTAACTTTCAGAAGCAAACATGACAAAATTTCCACAACATAGACCGTATCACTTTGAAAAAAAGAAACCAAAAATATTGATTGAATAATATAGGGTACAATTCATTTGAAAATGTAATATAATCAGATGAAGATTTATATCTAGTGTATATAAGTAACCACCTTTTTAAGTTTTAATTTACTCATTTTAAAACATAGTGATAAAGAAAGAACTTGATTTTAAAAGGCTGAATGAAAATAGAACATTGGGCCTTTCAAAGGTTTAGTAGATGTCCTACCCAGACTTTCAAGAAATGATAACAGAAATAACTATACATTTCATTTTTACATATCCAATATGCATACATATAAATAGACTGATACAGGCCCCAAATTTGAGTCTGTTTTATTATATGCTGTAGTAAAATATATTCTACAAATTATTACATGTTTTCTAATTTATATTTTAGAAACAGAAAAAAATCTTTAGTAGATAAAGGAATTTCTGTTCACTTATTCTTCCGTAACATTACCTTTCCTTACTCCCAATGCACCATCTTTTCTCTTCCTTAATAATGCAGTGTGCACAGAGAAAATGAATGAGCTGAATGCACTAGGACACAGCAGTTCATTTGGAGTGGTAAAACTGGCCCATGGGATTTTGCACCTGGAATTTGTAGACTTGAGATAACTTTAGAAAAAAATGTAAAGCTGTGTACAAGGAAGAACAACAACAACAGCTCCATTATTTCATATAACTGGTCAGATACATTATATTACACACACACACACACACACACACACACACACACACACACACACACACACACCACATGCATCCATCTTAACACATCTAATTTTGTGAAAGAGGGTCAGGTTCATGTGCTTTGGTAAGAGCAACCGATCTCCCACTCAAGCACATGCATTGAAAACTGGTCAAGCCTAGTATGTGACTATAAATGAACTGGAGACACTGAAGCTGCAGAAGAGGTACAATCCTCATTACTCCTGAGACTTCCAAGCCCTTACTCTGAATACCTACATTCTTACATTGTGTATGTGTTGTTCCATTGAGAGGTTCTTCTTTGCCATCTGTGATTAGGGATATCTGGTGTGTTCCACAAGTCCCTTCCTGGGCTTGAAATAGCCTCTCATACAAGATGGAGCTTGGCAGGAATCCTGGTCCTGACTATGTGGGTTGGATTTTCCATAACTGGAGAACAGTGGATGTCTTTCTCTCTAGGACCTCTTCCTTGCCCTTACTCTGGACCCCATCATGTCAGGCTTCTGAGGTTCCTGGAAAGTGAGTAGGTAATGAAGCATCATTTTCTTCACCTCCAGCCTGTATGTCACAGTAACCCTCCGTAACTCCCAAGGTCCCTTTGGACTATTTCCCTACCATACCTTGGCTGGAACCGGGGTCAAGTTGTGGGAATTAGCAAGATATCCTTGTGGGATTCAAGTTTAGTAGTTCCAGAGCCTCAAGTTTAGAAGATTAAAAACAGGAACAAGAGCAAAATAAGGTTATAATAGTTGAAAACTCAACCAGCAAAGGGCCTTACAATGAGACAGCAGAAAGAAACTAAAGAGGCCACTTTGAAATGCCTCCATCCCTGGTCCAGTTCAAAGAACAACCTCTGTCAAAAGTGTCCCCTGATTACACCAAGTGCTCATTTATTTCTTCCCACATGTCATAATCAGTGCTCCTTTTGATTTCCTGCTTGGCTATATTTTAGGTTTGGGTTTTAAGGCTGGTTGGGAGCTGTTGTGAGGTTGGTGAAAAAACTTGTTTTAGCTACTGAGCGTCCTGGAGCTCAGCCCTCTAGGAATCTCCCCAGAGTTTCCACACCGCCTTCCCGCGCGCCCATCCCCTCCGCTACTCCCCAACCCCCACCCAGACTGGCTCGTGCTACCCAGCACCCCACGGCTAACCGCCCCTCCCACTGCCTCCGCCTCTCACCCTCAGGTCGCTAGCACACTCTTGAGCCCCACACTGACTTCACCATCTCCCGGACGGCAGCACTTCCCGCCCTCGCCCAGGTCCCCAGCACAGCCACCACCCTCAACGCCTCTCTCCACCGCCGCGGGCGCCCAGCTCCTTCCAAGCTCACAGTCCTTGCAGAGCCACGCTGCCACCTTCGCCTCTTTTGCCACCAGAGCACCCCGGAACCCAGGACACTCGGAGTCCCGGGGATCGCCCAGCCTTCTGGCCCCTGGGATCCCGTGCCACCCCACCAACCCCAACGCCGATTCGGAGACACAACCATCTCCACCGCCACCACGGCCAACACGGGTGCCACGCGCCGCCGCCGCCGCCGCCGCGCCGCC